TCTGACAGATTTTCATAGAAAACAGATTTATTTGTTTTAACTGAAGATAGATTAAGGGACTCTAATGCTCCCAGATATTACACTAGAATGCTTGTCATACCTGCATTTAATGGGTGCCAGATTAAACAAGTTGCACTTAGACAAGGTACGTTTTTTGCTAAGTTGGTCTTTACTGCAGAAGGGAAAATGAACAGATACTGTTTTCACTTTTGGGACTGGGGGAAGTAGAAGAAAAGAGTGATGGTAGTCATAGAGTTACAGTGGATACCATGGCATGTGGTCAACTGAAACAAAATACTTCATACTAGTCACAGACCAGTACTTTACTGACGCTCCATGCCCCCAAGCCATGGCCTTGGGATAACTAAAATGTTGACAAATGGGAAAATGGAGTATTTCTCCTAATGGAGTGCAACTCACAGAGCTGCTTCTAGTCTAAGTTTATGTTGAGCTTTATAGAGATACTTGATGCTTCTTGCAGGAACATTGAAAAGAAAGAGAACAATGACTGAATATTTGCATTCTGTGTTATTCTTCAGTGAGTACAGGTTAGAAGTCAGAGGTCTTCTACATGCATGCATGCAGAGGTCTTCTCTATGCAATCAAACTGAATACCTTCTCAGCTATAGGAAGTTCAGAAAGAATTTCCCTCTATCACCTTTGCTCCACTGTTCTCTGTTTCAGACATTTCTAGCAGTAGGGTTTGGCTCTTTTTTTAGTGCTAATGTTACAGTTACATCTGGTGGCTGTGACCAGGTCTTGGTTGTGCTGTAGCACTTTGCTTAATTAGTGAGAATAATTTGCCATTGGTGGATGTAGTATAAGGGGCAACAGGCACAAAAACTTGACTAAGGCTCAATCTCTAAGGTCATAAAAAAAGTCAGTGGTAGAACTGAGCAGCAGCATGCACTGTTGCAGTGGTACAGCCTAGGATACTAGGCCAATGTAGGGCCACATTATCATGCTAGCCTCCCCTTTCATTTTGTCACTTGAGTTCTCCTGAAAATCCCCCCAAGCCATCCCTCTGCACCATCCCTGCTTCAGGACACAAGAGAGAAGGAGACTAGAAACTGGTCATGGTTTCTTCTATGAAGAAACTAGAAATCCTCCTTTCTACTACTGTACTCTGCTCTGTGCTTCTTTTAGGTCCTAAAATTTCTGCTAGCTCCTCTACTCCCAGCAAAGAAGGCAAGGTCCAGCCACCCATGTGAGAGGTAGGTTGGATAAGGAAGGAAGGGGATGCACCTGGTGCATTGTGCACACAGATGTTTTTAGCTAGATGAGAAAGGAAACTCATCCCAAAAATCTGTCCTGTTACAGAGGAACCTAAGGCCAAATCCACTCTCTCTGCAGGCTGGCAAGGATATTTGCTGCCCTGGCTTCCTAAAGCAGAAGGGGCCAAACTGCTGAGAGGGAAGCCTGTTGGAAGGCACCTCCGAGCTGTGTTCACTTGCAGGGGCAGTAACTGCACCTTGCCCTCTGCTTATTCGTTATCCTAGTGAAAGCTGCCCTGGGCGTTCGTAACAGCGAGTGATGCCGGGTGAAGGAAATGGGCACGGCTCGCTGACTGTTGTGTCCGGAGGTCACACGGAGGAAACCTGCAATTGTTTCATTGTGCTGGGAGGGAAGCAAAATGTCCAGTGTTGGCAGGACACTGCCACCAGGCGCGGCGGGCTCCGAGCCTGCTGCAATATGCCGCCGCGCTATATTAGGGAATGTGCTCTGGCTTGATGCTTTTTGGCTCTGCGACACCGGTGCGGAGGCTCAGTGTTCTCATTGCAGCCTCGGAGCCCAGGCAGTCTACGGGGAGGTGACTGGCAGGTCTCAAGGAAGGACTTTCCACCCGTTAGAGACGTGAGCAGCAGTTTGCTTTTGTTACCCGCCTGTTACCAATCTTGCTCGCCCACCGCTAAGGTCCACTGGGCGCCGAGTGGTCTTGGAAAACAGTGCTGGAGAGGAGGTGAGGACATTATTAAATCAAAGATGGAACGGGACATTATTTTTCTCTTCATACCAGAATTATAGAGGTGTGTGTTTATGTGTATTTCTATTTAGCTATATTGTTGTGTTTGCCTTCCAAGAGCATGTTATTTTAGAGAATATGGCTATATTTTGTCACATATTTTGAGAACACTGACCATTCCTGTGATTCGCACCTTGCTGAAAGCTGTTTATAGGAAGACAAAATTTTGAACTCTTTCAGGAGATGAAAGATAAAGGGGAGTAGGATCTGCATCTGAGTGTTTTACAGCAGGAAGGATTAGTGGGGTGTCCGTAAAGGAAGCACACTTTAGCAAGACAATGAAATCTCAACAAATTTTAACAATAAATCGTAGTCAACTGAAGATCAAAGGCACCGTGTGCAGCAGAGGGATGAAAAAGAGGGAGACTCTGGTACCACTTTTGAGATGAAGAGGAATTTTGTGGGCATGCGGTGTTAAGTGCAGCACACTTACCTTGCTGTCATTCTGATCCATGGAGTGCCTTTGCTGCGACAATGCTAGCAAATGTTATAAGAAAGCTACTTTATTCATCTGAGGTTCATATATATATATATTTCTTCTTCTTTTTAGTCTTTCTTAGTGATAATTGGGTCTTTTCAGTAAGACTGTAGGGACCTAAGGGTCCAGTCTCATAATCAAACCAGATAGGGATCTTGAGGAGACCCCTCTGTGGGCAGCTGTGGAAAAGCTGAGATCCTGAGCAAGAGGTACCTCCGAAAGTTTTTGAGAGGTATTGCAAAAGAAATGTGAGACCAGACCCACTGCTGACTCTGGTGGTGGAAAACTCATGAGAGTTCATTTCAGATTCTTCCAGGAAAAGTGATCGTATAAAGGTCAAGTGGTCTTGATCTTTAGGTAGAAACACCAAAATCATCATTCTTGTGATGCCATGTTTCACAGTATGAGAACAGCCGTACTCCAGTAATTTGTAAATATGTATGAGTACCAGGAGAATGGAAATGGTCAAAGGGTTTCAAAAGTCTAGTTTTATTTGTTTAAAAAAAAAATCCTTAAACTTTATACATGACTTTTGAATTTGGTTAATTATTCTGGAAAGAAATTGGAGAAAGAACTGAGAAGTCACAACCTTTTCTAACATATTTAAAATAAAATGTTTATATTTATGTAAAAACAAAGTATTTTTTATTTTTTATTTTCTAGGATTGAATGGGCCACTTTTGACCTAAACCAGTTTTTTTTTAGGGACAGTTTTCCTATTGTGAGAAAAATGAAACATTTTTTGGTGTGACAAAGCTATTAAAAAATGTCTAACACAAAGACGGATGCAATCACAGAGAAAAAAATAATAATTTCTTTATGCAAGTTCAGTCAGGAAACGTGTGTTTCTTTGTCAAGCCCCTCTTTTGAGCTGATTCACTCTCTAGACTTGGGAAGGTCACACAGAGAGAAATTTTCATGCTTGGCTTTGAAGAATCTAGAGCTGTTTGAAAGATTATGGTTTGGTTTCACTCCCAATGAATTTCCATTAAAATCATCAAAATGAGTATGTGCTCCCCCAAAGAAGGGGGACAGAGCAGTTCGAGAGAGGTGGCAGAGGGCAACTTGGTAAGGAGAGGTGCATGTACCTGGCTGGGTGAGGAGTGACAAAGGGGCAAATAAATGAGATGACCAAGAATGTCTGTTTTGGAGGGGGGGAGAAGGCAAAACAGGGTGGGAACGGGGGTCCTACCATACGAAGCGCCAGTGTGGCAGCAGAGAAGTCCTTGGCAAAACCCAATGGTGAGGGGGGAAACTGCCATGATGTCCGTGCAAGGCCTGGGGTCTCCACTCTTTGAAGAACTGCTCGGATCTCGTTGTGCCTGGCTGCAGTGTGGCCCCAAGAAAAGTCACCAAGGCCACGTTTGGAGGGACGTGCTGCAAATGGGCATGTTTTGTGGGTTCAGTAGCATTACTCGCACGTCTCTATAACTTAACACCATAATGAGAAGCTCTGCTCCACAGGGTAGATGTGACTGCCTGGTGCAGTCGTAGGTCCCAGCGGGCGCTGAAACCCAGGAAGCTGCTTCCAATGTGCTCTCCAGGGCATTTAATCTTCTTCCCATCCTTGTTTCTTGAGCCCGGTGCAGCCACATCAGTCCTGCAACACCAGGGCCCTCCAGCAAAGGAATCGAGGCAGGCTTTAGTTGCGCTTGCAGGTTGAAATGAAAAAGCTCCTTGGGAGAAAAAAAGGCAGATTTGGTGTTTAGTGTTTTTTTGAGGGGTACTTTTGGTAAGAGCAAACAAAGGCAAGGCTGGAAAAAAATAGCTTGTTATGTCTTGCCTTTCTATATATTGTTTACCTGTGTATTAAAAGAAAAAAAAAAAAGACAAAAAAGAGCAGCAATTGTAAAGTCACTATCAGATTTGCAAAATCAACCTTCCCTTTGAACCTCCAGAAACCAACCCCAGCCAGCCAAACATGCAGAAAGTCACAACAGCAACAACAAAATTTAAATCCCCCAATCCAGGAACAAATCAGAAACAAAAACAGCCCCGGGAAAAGTCAACTAATAAAATAACCTTCACGAAAGCCCTGCCCTGGGCAGTGTTTTCATGAAAAAAAAAAAAAAAAAGAAAGAAAAAAGGCAGAAAAAGCCACAGATTCCCTTAAGTCGCGAGACGCTTTGCTATTGCTAGTGATTTTATGGGGAGGGTGCTTGGCTGCCGTGCTGGTGGGCAGGAATATAAAGCCACGAGGCAGATCTGTATCCGCGAGCAGAGCGCTTCAAATAATTTACAAATGCACCTTGGCTTTGTCCGCCCTTAGATCGCGAGCGGTTAGTAAGGCACCTTCTAATTTTCGTGTGCATCTGCACGCTTGCTTTCTTTGCCGAGTAAAAGGCCAGTCTTGCAGGAACGGGCTGGAAAATGTTGGTGGGGTGGCCGGGGCCGGGGGGGTGGAAATCCTCCGTGTGGCGTCTAGGCTGGGAGTGCAGAGGAAGCGGAGGCCTCCAACCCTGCACAGGAAGCAATCTCAGAGCAGGCCTTAAATGCCAGATTCCAGGCAGAGTTTAACTAACCACTGACAGCTCTGTAAACAAAGCAGGGACAAAAAGAGAACAGCTTTCCCTTTTCTGGTAGTCATTTTTGGTTTGGGGGCTGCAGGGGAATTCTGTAATACTCGGCTGGATGGGATATAAACCGGGGCTGAGGAGGCTTTGCATATGAAGAACTTATAAAGGGGAAAATATTTCATGGACTAAATCATAAAGAAGAAGGTAGGGCGCAGGGAAAATGCGTGGATTAAGCTGCAAAAAATATATTGCTACTTTTAATTCTTTGAGCAGGATTTATACATAGCTTGGCTCCTCCCAGGTGGTATTTAATAGCTCCAGCTTCTTTCTCTTTTTCCTTTTCTTTTTTTCTTCTTTCTCATTTTTCTTTTTTTCTTTTTTTTCTTTTTTTTTCTTTTTTCTTTTTTCTTTTCTCCTCTCCTCTCCTCTCCTCTCCTCTCCTCTCCTCTCCTCTCCTCTCCTCTGCTCTCCTCTCTTCTCCTCTCCCTCTTTTCAAGGCAGGGGACTGGCTTGTGCAAAATGATTATCTGTGCAACTAGAGAAAACAAGAAAATCCTTGTGCGGCATTTTTACTGTGTCTGGTATAAATTGGAAGCTTGAAGTTAAAATCCTGTTGAATTCTTGCTATTGTTTGTAGGAAAAGACCTGTTTCGTTACAAATAGCTAGTCTGCGGCTAGCAGATATATACAGTCCTTACTTACAGCATGTTGATTTAATTTTGAATAGGAAACTAAACTCAGGCATGGGCTATGTTTATCCTGCCAGACATTAATCTTGTTTATCTCAACTGTACTGAGGAAGTTAAATTTTTTGATAGAAAATAGTTGCAGCGAGGTTAACTAAACCGAATGGACTCCGTTGGTTAAACGTACTCGTTTTGTTTTCTCTGTCACCTAAATGGTCCTCTCCCTTTCAGATTGGGAACTTTTCGGGGCTCTGCACACTTGAACACCCACCATGGATGACTTCGAACGCCGCAGAGAGCTCAGGAGGCAAAAGCGCGAGGAAATGCGCCTGGAAGCCGAGAGGTGAGCGGCATTGCATATGGCAAACGGGTGCCGGAGGTTTTGGGCTTTATTAGCAGCAGCTTTGAGGGTCTCTGCCTTGGTATCCAAAGCACGTGACAGCTAACCAGTGAGTTCTTGCTATTGACGTGCGCTGTAAAGTGTCTCCAGTCAATATTGTGGGAAAGCCTGGATGTCAGTGGTATCCGGTGCCTGATTCCCTTAGGCAGCTGTGTGTGCTGGCATCTGGGTGTTCCATGGCTGCATGTAAACACTGAAGGTGGACTGTGTGGCAAGGGGAGAAAGCATTGCTAGGGAGACTCGTGCTCAGATATCATGTGGGAGAGTGGCCGCTGTACTGAAGATGTTTATCTTCTGAGACACAGAGCTAAAATTATAGGATATTGACCGAAAGCTGAGACAAAATAACCCCCTTGGTGTACATTACATAGTACATCTGTGAGTTGTGGGCAATTACTGTGCAACTACTGCAGGGTTACTACTGCCTGTCATTTTTATTCAATCAATCACAGACACTTCATTTGGGCACCAAGGGCAGCATTTGCTCTCATTTACTATGGATTTGCTTTGGTGCAAATGAGAATAGAGCTGGGCATGGGTACAGTGATACAAGGTGAAAATATTGGGAGTGACATTTCATTACCTAGCTGCATTTTATACTGGTACAGTTCCACTCCCTTTAAGGGAGGTTCCCATGATTTGCACTGAAATATGTAGGGAGTCGAGCTTCATGTATATTTTTGTAACTCTTTTGATAGAAGGATTTGATATATGGTATATTAAAACTGTAATGATTTTTAAAAATGGAACTTATGCATCACTAGCTAGGCACATTTTGATTTCAATTTGTGTTTAGTTTTGAATGTGGGCTTCATTTTTGTGTCCATTTTTTTTTGTGTTCAGTTTTCCATGCACTGAAAAAAGTGTGCTGCTGGAGCAAGTGTGTTTTTTAATTTATTTTTATTTTTATTTTAAAAAGCCTTAAATGGAATGGAAAGTAGTAAAATTAAATGTGTAAATAGGTTTAGCTTGCCAGTTTTGAGTTTTCTAATAAAGTCTGACTTCCATATCAGGTCTCTGTAATGGGCGTTGATGGTGCTTGGTGGGATGTCTCAGGCAGGTGAGATGCAGCAGCTGCTTTTCTTTCGACACAAAATGTATGTGAACCAAGTGTGTGAGCTCTTGCCAGGCTGTAGAATGAACTCAGGAGCTCTGCAAAGCGCGGCAGTGTTGCCCATGGATAAATAAACTTGCACCGAGTGCGGTGGCCAAAAGGAAATGAGGCAGGAGTCTCCTTTTGCAAAACCCACCTGGCCAGCAGCCTCCCCCCTGAAAAAGGGGGAGAAACATGTGTGCCATGGCACTGAGCTACCTTCTTCTCCCAGAAGGTTTTCCTCCAGGCCTGGGGTGATGTGTTTTGGTTGGAGCGCATGGGAGGAATTGCAGGTCCCGTGCCAGCCCCGGTCTGCTCAGCTGGGTAAGCAGAGAGCTGCTGCACCCAGCAGTATCTGGCTGGCACTTCTCATCATATCGCAGCCCTTTGTCTTTTAGGCAGAAACGAGACGAAGCAAGGTGTGTGTTGTAGCTGTCGGTGTGGGTGAAAATGCTGGGCACCTGCACCAGCTGGAAGGAGGCCTGCTGTTTATCAGAGGATTCAGAAATGTTCAGATTTATCGCATGCCGGAGGTCTGGGCCAAGGCCCGTTTGCACTGAATGTGGATTCACTCCATGTGCATGCATTTTAGCAGATTTTTTAACAGTGTGGTATAATGAGAACACATGGCATTTATATAATTTTAGTCTGCTTCTGCTTCATTTTTTTTTATTTAACAAAAAAAAAGAAAAAGGCCGAGACTTTAACATTTGCTGCTAAGACATATGCTCAGATGACTGTGGAGGATTCTGGGGGGTGTAGTCTAGGAGGAATTTTGTACTATGAAAAAACATCACTTCTCCATGAAGTCATTCAAGCTCTTATACGTGTGTGAGAAGGGTGCGGAGGGATCTGCACATCAGTGATGTGGAGGTGTGACCAGCTGGTGGATGCAATGGCAGCAGCAAGGTCTGCTGTGGAAATCCAGTATTCCCGCGTGCTGGTGAGTCACAGTGTAGCCCTGCCACCCAGCACGACTGGTGTCTGTCCCCTCTTGGGGGATTGGAATGTGATTAGGCAAGAGAGTAACAGCCTCTGCCATCGGAAACAACCCCCTTTCCATCCACATACTCGTCCTTTGGGGAAATGTTTTTGAAATGTCCCAGGCAAAAATCCCTGTAGTGGCTTTGCTGGGATTTTGCTGGTAACCTCTGGGAAGGGGCTGAGGTTCGTGGGAGCCCAGCTGGAGGAGCAAGGGCTCCGGCCTGCTTCCCTATGCTCCTCTGAATTGCTGTAGGAGCACTCTGTGCCCTTTCCCACACATTTGGAGACTTACAGCAATAAATTGCTCTATGCCAAGTCTTGCTGCACTCCCTCAACTGCTGCCAACTTCAAGCATTCAAGTATCATGAGTCAGACCCGTTAAAAGTCACAAGACTACTTTAAAAATCTTGAGATCTTAAAAATAATTTAGTCTGGCCTTTTTATTTTTATTTTGCCTTAGTAATAATAGAGCCTGATTCTCAAGGTCTGATGTGACTCTTGGAGCTGGGGCTTCAAGAAACCTACCCTGAGGGAGGGAGTGGAATGTCAGGACTGTCGGAGACATGTGTTTTTTTCCTTAGTGCCATTCAAGTCAGAGATGAGGGTAGCATCAGACTTTGGGCAGTTATTAGCAAGTGAAAATGTCACACTGAGTTCTTTTTGGTGAATTCATACTTCAGGGTTTGGGAGATCATCCTCCTCCCCTCTACAGTTATGACAACAAGGTGTCTGTGTTTTCTCCTGCTATGAGCTATGGCAGTATGCATGTCTGCACGCTTTCAGGTGCATTATGAAGTGAGTTGTATGTTCCTAAATCATGGCATGGAAGCTGGAAATGTTCCTTTGTGCTGAGTATCTTTGTACCTGCTGCAGTTACAGGATGTTGCCCTGCATCATCCCATCAATAAACTGCAGCCTTCATATGAAGTATCCAGACGATTATGTGTACGTGATAACGTATTTGCTAAGTCTTCCAGGCACTGTTTAGGCTTGTTTGATTTGAACAGTAAACCCAGAGAACAGCCATAGCCACTGGCCACAGTGATGCATTTTGCCATTTCTTGGGATAAAGGCCTGTGGAGAGCCCATCTTCTCAGCCTGCTCCGTGTGCTCAAGGGAGATCAAGGGATGAGGATGTCTTACAATGTGGGCTCGTGCACCATACATGCATGTGGCTGTTACTTGGCCTTGCCAGGTCTTGCCCAGGAGGGATGGTAGGTGTGAGGACTGGTCCATGTGCCAGCTGCTTTCCCAGTGTCCGTCAGGCTGGAGCATCTCCACATCATTCTGTAAACTGATGGCAGTCACTGTCTTATATCTGATACTCACCTCATACCTTGAGTTGGATCCTTGAGGGGAGATGCTAGGAATTGAGTTGTTTTCTCATTAGAAAGCAGTGGAAAATGATAGATAGTTGTGGTGTGTAGCACTGGCCTTCTGTAGTGATATGCACAGAAGTGATCCTAAGGAAACTTCTTTCCTAAGAAGAGCAATGGTGCGATTCACACTTGGCATGAGCTTTAACCTGGTGTTCACACTGTGGCAAAAGGAACTTAAATTGCTGCTAACTCAGAACCCCAGTGATTCATAAGCATTTTTCACTCTTATCATTTCTAAGGTAACACATGTCTTGGATCCTCCCATTTGGCCCAGATGGAATATTTTGAGTTTTCATGATTTGGGGGGCTGCCTAGATGCTGAGCAGCCTGTTTTGAAGTAGGGGCACAGACATGTGTGCAGGGCACATGCCAGGCAGCAGGCACACGGCTTTGACCAGCTTTACTCCATGGAGTCAGATTTACTGTGCCTGGTTAGTAGCTCCCATGCCTGAAAAAATGAGGCTTGTTGAGAAACCCATGACAAAGTAGGCCAGCTGTAACCATTGCAGTCTGTAGGCACTTTACATGTGGTTTACAATGCACAGGTGCAAGGTCACAGGAGATCGGACTCTAGCGACTCTATGGATGATGTCTATGCAGCTCCTTAATTCCTGGGGGAGATCAGCACAGGGGCTGGTCATTATGTAAGCCCCCAAGGTCCTGATCTGGACCTAGCTGAAGTCACTGGGAAGCTGTCTGCTGATTTCAGTGGGCTTTGGATTAAGCCTTATCTGAGTGATTCCGGATGGGTGATTTATGAGACAGTCTCAGTGACAGCCTTCACAAAGCCAGATGGACCCCATGCTGGCCCAGCCACAAGGTACATACTGTACTGAGGTATCGGGGCTGTGATAGAAGTGGGTTACACTCGACTGGAAAAAGCCCATGTGTAAACAGAGCACAGGGAACTGAGTGCTTTCCAGTGGGGGAAAACCTACCTACTGCTTTGTGCCTCTTTCTGGGCAGAGATGTTCTCTGGCCATTGGTTTTTGTCATTTTGACATTAATGTAACCAACACTGGAGGGATTTCAGACTAGGACTGGGCAGTGTGCTTGCACAAGCGTGTATGTGAATGTGTGAGACGAGAGGAGTGGTGTTTCTTTGAGAATTTCTTGCTGATGCATCTTGGTCTTCCACATCTACATGCAGCTGCAGAGAACTATTGAGGCAAAATACCTGTTATAGTGACAGTGGAATGACTTCCGCGATTTCAGTGTTATTGAGAGGAAAACTTAGCTCCTTGAACTCTCAAAAGAATAGCTCTTGTATTAAGTCTGTTGTGTACTTAAAGAGTGATTTTATGATTGGCTTACTTGCTATTGCACGCACAGTGTATTTTCATGTCTGCTTGGTGTCAGAACTCTTAAAAAAATTAAACTAGAAAGTCAGTCCAGTTAGCTTAATTGCCATGCCCCACAGCCATCACAAAGGTCTTAGAGTCTGTGTCAGATTGATCTTCATTTAGCTGAAGCTTGACTTCAAGACT